GTGTGTGACTCTGCTGTGTGTTGTAGGTCTGCAGGCGTCCTCCAGCGGTCAGGTAAAGGTTAGTGATGGCTCCGCCTCCAAGAGGCCGAACACCAATCAGAGCGAAGCACCGCCGATGAAGAAGAGGAGGAAGAAGAAAATGGCGACGGCTGTTTTCTGGTCAGACTCAGTTTGAAATAACTTTATTCATAACAGAGTGAACGACAGTCACAGCAGGGAAACAGGAAGTAAACACTGTTGTCATGGTTACAGGACTGGCCTGGAGGACCTGGACAAGTTCACAAGCTCTGAGGACGACGAGGGTCCATCAACCTCTGCTGTTGCCATGATGATGCAGAGAGAGGAGGCGGAGCCTGGCAGGTATTTACAGATATTTCAGCAGGTGGGTGGGGCCACATGACACCTGTCACCTTATTTAGCTGTACCCCCATCTGACTGCAGCAGCACCAGTCCAAATACCAGACCCTCAGACCGGAGACCACCTGGAGCCTCCCCCGAGGACGAGAGACCACCTGGAGTCTCCCCCGAAGACGAGAGACCACCTGGAGCCTCCCCCGAAGACGAGAGACCACCTGGAGCCTCCCCCGAGAGACCACCTGGAGCCTCCCCCGAAGACGAGAGACCACCTGGAGCCTCCCCCGAGAGACCACCTGGAGCCTCCCCCGAGGACGAGAGATCACCTGGAGCCTCCCCCGAGGAAGAGAGACCACCTGGAGCCTCCCCCGAGGAAGAGAGACCACCTGGAGCCTCCCCCGAGGACGAGAGACCACCGGAACCATCAGAGACCAGCAGTCCAGAGGTCAGTACTGGTCTGATTGTGAAGTGGTTCTGTTACATTTTCATGTTTCTGAACTGGGTCATTGTGTCCCAGCAGCTGGACCTGTCCTCGCAGACCTCTGTCCAGCAGCTGGAGTCTCTGGGTCTGGAGGTTCTGAAGAAGGAACTGGTCTCTCGGGGTTTAAAGTGTGGGGGTACCTTGTCAGAGCGCGCGGCCCGTCTCTTCTCCGTCAGAGGACTGAGTCCAGATCAGATCGACCCAGTTCTGCTTGCCAAACCAGTCAAAAGCAAGAAGAAGTAGAGGAGCAGTTTTTTGTTGTGTCAACAGGAAATCCTGCAGCAGGACTTCCTGTTTTATTCAAAGTTTTGCACCAATCAGGGTTCAGTTTGTTCTTTTAATAAAAAGTACAGAAACAGATCTCGACTCATTTTTCTGAAACAAACTGGGTTCTGGTCATAAGTGGGCCATCAGAACCCGGGGTCCCAGGATGTGACCTGAGGGACCTCCATTTCCTGGAAGCACATGATGACATCACCAGTCCTGAAGTCCACGTCTCCGTCCACCGACAGGCCGCAATCCATCCCGGTCTTCACCGTCAGAACATCGTCTTTGAGGTGCTTCAGAGACGACAGAGAACCTGCAGGAACATGTTGGAACCATGGGTCAAGTTCCACCATTGATATGATACATATGACAGGAGTGGGCGTGTATGTACGTATGCATATATATGTATGTATATACATATATGTGTATGTATATACATATATATAT